CGAGAAACATCCTCAATTTCCAAGATTTAGAAACCTTCCTATTTTGGGGTAATAAAATCATAATAATAGGAGATTTAAACGGACGTCATGAAGACTGGGGTTGTAACCGGGCTAACCCAAATGGAAACACTATAAAATATTTTACGGAACAAAACGGATTAATCCTAACGGCCCCACGAAAACCAACTCTATATCCTTACAATAGAAATAACACGCCATCAACCATAGATTATATAATATATAAAAATGTACAAAAATTATCTAAACCTGTCTCAGTACAGGCTGTCTCCTCTGATCATAACGCTATAATAACCAAATTTTCTTCCTCTTTTAACAAAATCATTCCAAGAAAAATAACATCTTATAAGAACACTAATTGGATGAAATACAGATTCGAATTGAACAATAATATCAAAATAAATCGTAAAATCGGCGGTGTATCAAAAGAAGATATAGATATAGAATTCGAGGAATTTATAAAATTGCTACAGAAATTGATGATTAAACACACAGAAAAAATACAAATAAATATATACAAAGATAAATTTCCCGCATCTTTGGAAAAAATAATCAAAGAAAAACAAATTACAAGAAAAAGGTGGCAGCAGTTTGGGAGTCAAATAGACCGCCAAAAACATCTCGAATTGAAACAAATAGTAAGAAGAAAAATCAAGTCTTACAGAAAAAGAATATGGCATCAAAAAATACGAAATGCGACAACTGAAAATAATTCCCTATGGAAAATAACTAAAAATCTGAAGAAAAAATACCAAAGTATATCCTCATTAATATATAAAAATAAAAATCTTCTATCAGATAAAGAAAAAGCGGAAGGTTTAGCGCTTAACATGGAAGAAATACACAAAAACACCCCGAATAACCAATATCATAATAATATAGAAACCAAAATAAATGCATTTAAAAATAAGAAATTAAATTGGTCGAAAAAAGAATTAAATAAATATTTAACTACTCCCATGGAAATTTACAGTATAATCAAAAATATGCCAAATAATAAAGCACCGGGTATAGATGGAATTGAAAACAAAATAATTAAAAACATAACTAAAAAAGCAATTGTAAAACTGACTTACATGATAAACAATTCCATAAGAAACATGTACTATCCAAAATGCCTCAAAACTGCTCTAATCACCCCAATACTAAAACCGGGTAAAGATCCTACTAATCCTAATAGTTATAGACCAATATCATTACTGTCCATCGTAGGTAAAATATTTGACACCGTCCTACATGAACGATTGAAGGATGAAATAAAGGAAAGAAAACTAATCCCAGATGTACAATACGGATTTCGAGCGGGTCATTCGACCGAATCGCAAGTGGTCCGAGTTGTACATGACATAAAAACGAACTATAGAAAAAATCAAAATACTGTAGCCGTACTGTTAGACACACAAAAAGCATTCGACACAGTCTGGATTCCGGGGCTCATTGATAACATGCTTGACTCCGGAATATCGAATTGCTTCGTAAGGCTAATTTCTAACGCAATAACAGTACGAAAATTTAAAATTCAGGTAAACAATGAAACTTCACAAGAATACGAATTGAACAGAGGTATCCCACAGGGATCTGCACTCAGTCCAACTCTGTTCTCTATATATACCAGAAAATATCCTCAAGCGTTTAATGTAAATACGGCGTTATATGCAGATGATGCATGTCTTTATGCAACATCCTTCTCTTCGGATGTGGCAACCAGAAAAATTCAATACCACCTAATTAAAAACATAAAACCATTTCTGGAAGATAATAAAATAGAAATAAATCCAACAAAGACTGAAGTTATAAACTTCTCTGTAAAAAAGAATGACACTAAAATATATAGAAAGCTAAAAGTAGAACACGCGAATATAGAAGAGAAAGAAACCGTAAAATATCTAGGAGTAGTACTACACAAACGACTAAGCTGGAAACACCACATAAAATACCTAACCGATAAAACAAATACCGCTGTAAAAGCATTATATCCCCTAATAAATCGAAAAAGTAAAATGTCACTAAAAAACAAAACTTTAATATACAAAACAATAATTCGTCCAATTTTAACCTATGGTAGTAACGTTTTCTGTTCAGCACCAAAAACGCTCATCAACAGGTTACAAGTAATACAAAATAAAATACTAAGAATTATAACTAATGGTAACAGATACACACCGATTGAACTTTTACATGCACGGGCCAGAATGCCAAAAATGAAAGAATATATTTTAAGTAAAGCGGAAAAATTCTACAGAGATCAAATATTAACAAATCCACTAACAAAAAACATCGGTAAAATTAAAATGACAAACACACAAAATAAAAAACACGGATATGTACATCAGGAATTAACAATATTTAAAAACTAAATTGAATATTGTATAAACAAGCTAACAGAAAACGTTCCTATACTTATATACTAGATAATTATTCCACTATATGTATGAGGTTTATTGAAAGAAAGTTCCTCATAAAGTCTGCATAATTAAAATAAACCAATAAATTCTACGAGAGCTATTTAGCATACGACCTGTACAATAAACTAATAAATTGTTATTATATCGTAAAAAAAACAAACGATGAAAATAACAAAATAGAAATAATAAATTCTAAATACAATTAGCACACAAAAAGTATCAGAGGCTTAAGAGCAGGCCGGGCTTGTGGTATAATCTATGAAGATATACCAGGAGCTTACTATGTACATTATATTACTCAATAGTACAAAATCGCCGTTGTAATAAATATTTAGTTTAGTGTTAATGTAAAAATGATGTAATAATTAATAAGTTGTAAATAAAGATATTTTGAATTGAATTGAGTTCTCGTCCGATCACTGCAGCTAAGCATTATTGGGCGCGGTTAGTACTTGGATGGGTGACCGCTTGGGAATACCGCGTGTCGTTGCTTCCCTCTTTTTTTTAATTTTTCTAATTTATTATATTATAGAAAATAATGTTTTATCTACAATGATTGCTACATTTATTACAGGCAACGGCCATACCATAATGAATACGCCAGTTCTCGTCCGATCACTGCAGCTAAGCATTATTGGGCGCGGTTAGTACTTGGATGGGTGACCGCTTGGGAATACCGCGTGTCGTTGCCCCCTCTTTTTTTTAATTTTTCTAATTTATTATATTATAGAAAATAATGTTTTATCTACAATGATTGCTACATTTATTACAGGCAACGGCCATACCATAATGAATACGCCAGTTCTCGTCCGATCACTGCAGCTAAGCATTATTGGGCGCGGTTAGTACTTGGATGGGTGACCGCTTGGGAATACCGCGTGTCGTTGCTTCCCTCTTTTTTTTTAATTTTTCTAATTTATTATATTATAGAAAATAATGTTTTATCTACAATGATTGCTACATTTATTAGAGGCAACGGCCATACCATAATGAATACGCCAGTTCTCGTCCGATCACTGCAGCTAAGCATTATTGGGCGCGGTTAGTACTTGGATGGGTGACCGCTTGGGAATACCGCGTGTCGTTGCTTCCCTCTTTTTTTTTATTTTTCTAATTTATTATATTATAGAAAATAATGTTTTATCTACAATGATTGCTACATTTATTACAGGCAACGGCCATACCATAATGAATACGCCAGTTCTCGTCCGATCACTGCAGCTAAGCATTATTGGGCGCGGTTAGTACTTGGATGGGTGACCGCTTGGGAATACCGCGTGTCGTTGCCCCCTCTTTTTTTTTAATTTTTCTAATTTATTATATTATAGAAAATAATGTTTTATCTACAATGATTGCTACATTTATTACAGGCAACGGCCATACCATAATGAATACGCCAGTTCTCGTCCGATCACTGCAGCTAAGCATTATTGGGCGCGGTTAGTACTTGGATGGGTGACCGCTTGGGAATACCGCGTGTCGTTGCTCCCTCTTTTTTTTAATTTTTCTAATTTATTATATTATAGAAAATAATGTTTTATCTACAATGATTGCTACATTTATTAGAGGCAACGGCCATACCATAATGAATACGCCAGTTCTCGTCCGATCACTGCAGCTAAGCATTATTGGGCGCGGTTAGTACTTGGATGGGTGACCGCTTGGGAATACCGCGTGTCGTTGCTTCCCTCTTTTTTTTTATTTTTCTAATTTATTATATTATAGAAAATAATGTTTTATCTACAATCATTGCTACATTTATTAGAGGCAACGGCCATACCATAATGAATACGCCAGTTCTCGTCCGATCACTGCAGCTAAGCATTATTGGGCGCGGTTAGTACTTGGATGGGTGACCGCTTGGGAATACCGCGTGTCGTTGCTTCCCTCTTTTTTTTTATTTTTCTAATTTATTATATTATAGAAATTATTGTTTTATCTACAATGATTGCTACATTTATTAGAGGCAACGGCCATACCATAATGAATACGCCGGATCAGAAATATACTGCTCCACAAAAGTTAAGGAAGTTCACAAATATTAAGAATAATTTAAAAGTCGCAGGTTTTTTGATCGCCAAATTTAGTACGAATTGTAGAGATAGGGGCAAAAAATTCGCTCAGATATGAGAGAAAACATTTAATTTCGCATATTTGAAAATTTGGTGATCAAAAAATATGTAACTTTTAAAATAATCGCAAAGTTTGCGAACTTCCTTAACTTTTGTGGAGCAGTTTATTTATTTAAACTGTTAAATAGCTATAGTATAACTATGAAGATTAAAAGTGTCAGAATCATAGACAAAATAAAAGCCGTCTTTCTTTCTCTATGGTCAGAATATTTAATTGGGGTTTAAAAGTTATTCATCGAATAACTATTAATGGATTTATTTATTTGTCGTTGGTGAAACCAGGCAGAATATTACTTAAAATTATAAATGATGATGATAAATAGAGGGATACATACAAAAAAATAAGTAGACAAAATTATTGGAACTTATAATAGTAAAATCAGCATTAAAAAAATAAAATAAAATTACCGACAAAATTTCTAATGCTGTACTGAATTTTGCGCAGGTATATGCCCAAAGGGCAGCAGCAAATGATGTCGTTTCCGGTACCCGGAGTCAAGTTAGAGACACACGGAGGTGACTGTAATCAACGAAGGTGCAAGATCAACTTGACTGATTTGACGAGAATGCACAGTGGCGGCGCGTACAGGTGCGAAATTTCAAGCGAAGCACCCGCTTTTAGATTGGCTTCGGAAACCCATAACGTTACCGTAGCAGGTAAGTTAACGTTAACGTTTAAACTGTATAGACCGGATAAGAAAAAAACTCGGGAATGGTAAAATCAGTGTTGTTAAGTAATTAATTACAAGTAATTGAAAAAGTAATTGAATTACTTTTATTGTAATTGAGGCGGTAATTAATTACAAGATCCTCAATTGTAATTCATTTGTAATTCAATTACTCCTTTCGTTACAATTACAATTACATTTCAATTACATTGGACACAAAAGTACTTATTTAATGTTTTCAATACGTGAAAGTTTAATTTCGATTGCAAATCCCTAAATAATTATTTATAACTGACACCAAAGCAAAGTAATTGTGATTGTAATTTTAATTGTAATTGTAATTACATTCGCAAATTTTGTAATTGTAATTGCAATTAATTACAATTTGCCAAAAGTAATTGTAATTAATTACATATTATAAAGAATTTTAACATCACTGGGTATAATGTACAATGAATGCTTCGAGTGCTTTAATACTTAATTTGTAGTATTAACTTATTATAAATAATAAATAATAAATAGATAACATTTTTTATATGTTATCTATCGCTATATAGATGGTTCTGTATACTGTCATCATTGTATTCTTTGAAATTTTTAATTTCATTTTATTCAATGCATTTTTACACAGGGTGTTCCAAGAAGGTGAGTCATACATTATACCAGATATTCTAGGGTCAAAATAAAGTTAATTGAATCCTATTTACCTATATCCAAAATCACATACAAAACAAGTTTAAAGCCTGTTTAAAGTGCAAACTGAAAATCGATTTTTTTCAATAACTCCAAAAATATTCATTGAACCATATAAAAAATAATAAAATGTAATAATACATTAATAACAATATAATAAAATAACAAAATCTGACCCTTATAAAATAATTAGGGGGTCCAGTATATTTATTCCACTCTATTTCTTCTCTATTTTAGATTTAGGTTATTTTTTATTTCCATTAGATTAATGAATTCATTTAGCACGTTTTACTTTTATTTTTCTCCTAAAAATTAAAATTTTTCGAGTTATTGCGAGTTTTTTGTATAAACTAATTAAATTCATTTATAAGTTTCCACGACGTTTCATCACACGACTATTCATCACACGACTATTCATCACACGACTATTCATCACACGACTATTCATCACACGACTATTCATCACACGACTATTCATCACACGACTATTCATCACACGACTATTCATCACACGACTATTCATCACACGACTATTCATCACACGACTATTCATCACACGACTATTCATCACACGACTATTCATCACGCGACATTCCTTCACGGATATTTTATCACGACGACGATTCATCACTACCACTATTCATCACTGCGACCATTCATCACACCTAATATAAAAAAATTGTAAAATAAAACAAGACTTTAGAAATAGTTTTTATTCGTTTTTGGAATATTTCTTAAACATTTTAATTTTAATAATCATTTCATCACACAATTCTTCTATAGTTGGTTGAGATGAGTGTAGAAGCAAATGAATACTTGCTTGAAATACTTTCATGTTTTTAGTACAGCTGCGACTTCGTCAGGTTGCCCAACGAAGCTAAAATATTTTCATCTTTGCAAATATTTTCCGCTTCGTCACTTCGAGCTATATTCCCAATGTAAATATTAACTCAGGTCTAAGTAACAAAAAATTGACAAAAATTGGCAAAAAATTCTGACAAAAACTGCACCTATACTAAAAACCCGAAAGTACATATTTTAATCAAGTATTCACTTGCTTCTACACTCTATCTCAATTATGTGTTAATTAATATGTGATGAAACAAAACAGAAACTAATTTAAAACTAATTTCTAATTTTGTCACCAAAAGTCTTGTTTTATTTTACAATTTTTTTTAAAGTAGGTGTGATGAATAGTCGCAGTGATGAGTAGTGGTAGTGATGAATCCTCGCTGTGACGAATAGACGCCGTGATGAAATGTCCGTGTTGGAATATCGCGTGATGAATAGTCGCATGATGAAACGTCGGAAAAATTTATGAAAAGTAATGAGATACTTTTGTATGGAACCTATCGGATATTGTAATTAATCTTATGAATTTCATTGTACCTGAGCTCTCCTAACGTTGGAAACAAATAATAATACCTACTTAAATGATGAATTGAAAAAAACAGATGCAACAAATTTTGTATAGATGATGGATTTAAAAAAATAGTTACGTAATTCTAGTTAGTTTTTTAGTCTTTTGGGGTCAATTGGATTTGTAATTAGTAATTACTATACCAATGAGTTCCATACAGTTTCTAAATTTTGGTGAAGGATGTTACAAAAATTTCATCAAATGCTCTACCAGTTTATACATTTTGGGGGAATACTTCGTAATTACTATGCGAATAATTCGTAATTTCTATTATATGAGTTCCACAAAGTTTTTTAAATTTTGATGAAGGGTTTTACAAAAATTTCACCAAAGCGCTCCACCATGGCTCATACATTTTATACATTTATACCACATTTTTACCACAGAAGAAAAATAATATGTAAATATGGATAATAACATTTAGTCCTGCTTCGTTGTATAAACAGACATCATGTATCCCCGGCGTATAATTTCTTGTAGGTATTGGAGTAATGAGATCCCGTGAGGCTATACAAGAAGTTTGCATTTAAATGGTGTACATATATGCAGATAGCGGGCAAAAACCACTCCTTTGACTTCCTAACTCTGATATCTGACAACTTATTTTCACTGTTTGCTTGGATTTCCTTAACTTGCTCGCTCCGATGTTATAAAAGAATTACTAAGGAACTCTACAAATTAAAAAATTTTGTAGAAAGAATTTTTTTACTACACCAATGAGTTCCACAATGCTTCCAATATCAATCGATTTACGACACACAATTCGCATTACTACTATGCTAATTAGCTTCCGTAACGATTTTTTTTTATTTTGTTTTATGAAAATTTAGCTTATTTTATTGAAAATTATAAAATTTTAGCGTAAAATTCCACCCCCAAATCCCCGAAAAAAATATATTAAAGCTGGAGTTTTCATGGTAGAGATGGTAGCCAATAGTATTTTTGTTTTAAAATTTGTTGGCAAATTTCTAAGCATATTTTTCTTTCAACGAATGAATTTTTTCTTTACAATTAAATAAATCCCTATTCATTTGGCAACATTGCCAGCCTGTAAGTGCTAAATATTTTTTTCTTTTGAATGCCCTTTTCTCCGAAAAGAGTTCCGATTAGTTATGGAAATTATTGTTTTCTCAGAAAATTATACACTATTATTAATCATTTCTATACAGGGTGTCTCATAAGTTGATACTTTTTTAACTGCGTATAGATCTTTTAATTCTAAGCAACTTTTTCAAGTAAAATTTTGTAATATCCTGGAAAATAAGAGAACACGTTTTTTTTTCAATTTTTAATTATTAAAAAGTTATTTAATACGACCCTGTTTATTAAAAGTTAAAGGAACTGCTCAAAATTGCCGCCATTTTGATTGGAAACGCTTTGGAAACACTCTCCATAAATAATCAGCATGTCCACCAATTCATTATTTCTATATGTAGAGATGAGCCATTTTCAATTCAACAATCGAAAAATTAATTTTTTGCCATTATTTATAATTTCTTTGACACCTGTATGGTAATGGCAGGTAAGTATTGGAAAATATTCGAAATTTAATGAAATTTTAAAAATATCCATCTTTTTTATTATCCACAATATTAAAAAATGTTGCATTTGCTTAAAAAAGTTGCTGTCCACTTCCGGTATAACCGGAAGTAAAAAAAAGTTGAAAATATTTTCATTGAATAGAGCGCATCGACTAATACTTGTACACATATTTTCAAATTTTAATTACCACTACTTTTACAGATACTTCTAATGGGCCCTCGTCGTGACACACACTGTATATGTATACGCAGTTAAAAAAATGTATCAACTTTTGAGACACCCTGTATATTCAAAATTGCCATTTTAATTCGATTACGGAAGCTAATTGTTAATCAGAAAGAAACAAAGCTCATTTTATGTTTATATTGTTTCAGCTTTAGCAAAAGATCCTCCAAAAATCGATGGACTCGCAGAAACTTATATGGAAGGAGATACTTTTAACGTCAAATGCACCTCGAATTACGCCGATCCCGAACCGATATTGACATGGAAAATCAACGGATTAGATGTAAATATTATTCATATTTTTCAAGTATTTTAAATTTTTATGTAGGTATGTACATCCGTATAAAATCCTTAATAACTAATGGTTAATTAATTTGACACATTTAAATGTTCTTAAGGGCGGATCTCATATAGACCTATTAAGTATGGACGCGGCACTATCGGTATTTTGAGGTTATTCAGCGTTCCCAATGATAGAGAGAGAGAGGTCCATGAGAGATGGAGCTAGTTTGGGCTAAAAGTAGGCGGGACCAAAAAATAAATAAAATATATACAGGGTGCGTAAAAAAAGGCTATTAATCTGTTAAATTATTTATACGCTTAATATTTAAATATTGTTTTTATCTTGGTATCCACTTAGACAGATGAATGACCTGGAAGAAACATATTTTTTACAAGAGAAAGCAGTTAGGTCTTAAATTGCGAAATCAGTACTGGCTAATAGGTAGGATGTTCCAATTAACAATACAAAATAAGAACTATATTTGCAAATGCGTGGGAATTTAGGCTCAGCTGAAAAATGCATTTTGCTCGGCAAAAAAATAATAAATCACAATACCCTCCGCTGCACTTCTCAACCCTATTTTACCATAAGCTACCCTCCTCTACCCCAGCTACCTTGCATATTTGAAAACGTAACTCACGTGGTCTTTTGCTTTCTTACTATTGGCTAGTGCATTGTCCAATCTCTCATTGCCATATGCCCAAACTAGCTGCATCTCTCTTATTCATCGACAACACTACCTCTTTGTCTAAACCGCGTCCATAGTTAATAGGTCTATGGCGGATCTGTAATAATGATTTTTATTGATTTTTGTAATTCAAATTCATTCGGTTTATTAAAGGAATTTCCATGAAAAAGTTGAATAAACTTATTTTTAACGAAAAAAAGTAAAATTTTTTGTATATTATGAGACTAAAATTCTCGTAATGTACAATTTAACATTAAAATGTTGGTATTAAAACGGCGTGTGCAAAAGTAAACAGTTGATGATTGTATTCAGTTTTTTGTGCTCTTTCCAAATTTGAAATTCAATTTTTAAAAATTCAATGTACAGAGTGTTGTTTTAGGGATAGTCAAACTTTAATAATTTTTATTAAGTCGGACCTGGATTTTGAATTTTTTAGTAAGTCGATAATTTGTTCAAAGGGTGTAGATTATCTGTGCAAAATATGAAATAATTATACTGAGTGATTCAAAAGTTATAAGCACTGAAAGAAATGGGCCAAATTCAAAAAAACGCCCTGTAACTCGGTTATAAGGAGAGTAAGACCCATATTATATAGTTTTTTTCGGAACCCCTGGGTGACCTCTATATAGGGTTAAAATCTTTCCGTTTCGGAATAAATCACCCTGTATAACTTTTGTAGCCCAAGAATAGCTCTTTTCAACTAGCCCAGGTTTGTTTAAATCGGCTCAGCCGTTTCGAAGATACAGGGTGTTTTTTAGGGAAACATTCGAATAACATTCACCACTTTATTTTTAAAGATACAGCTAAAAGTGTTAAACCAAAAAGCTTCATCTTATACTCGACTTAAAAGATCTGTTATTTTTTTGTTAGGTTAATATAGCGGAATTCATAGAAATATCACTTTTTCAGTTTCAAGATTGCAATTACACCCCCTAGCGGCCATTTGAGAAACTTGAAAATATTTTCCAGGTTTTTCCCCTTTTTTTACCGCAAACCTCTACGTTGCATAGTTTCCCAGATACAGTACTTTACATTCTTATCCGATCACCCTGTACATGAGATTTCTAAAATTTGCTGGAAGGGTTCACGATAGTTTTCCCAATGAATTCCGAAACGTTTGGCGAAGAAACTAACAAATAATCGGAAAGTTGAATAACTGATAATAGTCTTGCATATACAGGGTGTTTTAAGGGTGTTTATAATTAATAAGTGCGACAAACTTCAGGGGAAGATTCATAATTAATTTTTTAATAAAAATGCCTCAGTGGCGTACAAATATTATTTTTTTCTTTAAAAAAATGTTATTATTACCCGTATGCGCGTCAATGATGAACAAGAAAATTTTAATTTTATGTCAAAAAATGCGTAATAGTTACTTCTCAACAGCCACCAAATTTCATTTGAATATCTCGTCTAGTTTCAGAGAAACTAATAAATAAATAAATCTTCGATTTTTAAGAAGAAACTTTGACACCCCGTATCTCGAAAACGAAGCATTTGTGGACATATGTTTAAACAGGTTGCTCCATTTTTGTTCGCAACATAGGTTATATTAGGCCATTGGTGCGATAAAGACAACTTCCATTAGACATTTATAAAGGAAAAGGAAAGAGTGACAATTGTGTCATTGCAACTTTTCACTCTGACAACTGTCATTTTAATAATCTTTCTTTGTTCCACTCATAGAAATGACCATGTTGCAATCGGAAATGGAGCAAGGTGTAGAGCAAAATATCATTATTTTTTCATGCAGAATCACCCCTTGAAGTTTGTCGCACTTATTAATAATTAACACCCAGAAACTAATTAATTAAAAATACGAGGGCGAATCAAATATGAACTGGAATTTCCTTTTAGAAAATGTATTGGTAAATTAAATAAAATTTTTAATATACAATGTTACTTTTGCGTTTGGATCCACCCTGTAAGCAGTATGATTAAAATTGACGAAAAATATTCATTTTGTACATTTTGCAGGATATTAGCAATGTTATAAAATTTAAAATTTATTTTCAATTCAATCCATTTAGTTTCTACAGAGTGGTAAACTTAGTACGATTTTCGTGGAAAAGTGGTCATAACTTTTAAATCACTCAGTATAACGTTATATAAAATTATATTTTTGGAAAGCCGAAAACGAAAAAAAGGTATTCTCTTTAAAAAAGTATAAGTTTGCTCTACTACGGAAAAACGGGACACTCTCTATAAATGTAACTAATTTTAAAATGTGCAGTTTAAAAAGATCAACAATTTTTGTAATGAAGTTTTTTTGATATCTTCTATAATAACAGATATATTGAGCTTTTCCATACTAATGTGACACCCTGTATATTAAGACGTGGTGCTATTCACTTCACCTATAAGGAGCGTTAAAAAGAATATTCCGGATCATATATTTGATTCACCCTCGTATATGTCATTTTAGATACGCTTAAAGTGCGGGATATTTTTGGTTTTATAAATTTTAGGAAACGTTAACTTGTTTTCCGAGCGAATTTTTCCGAGAGTTTTCCTAACGTTTAAACATTTTTCTGTTTATAATGAATATGCGTTTTCCAAAAGGCCATTTCGATGATTTTATTCTGATGTATGTACATACACAGGCAATAAACTCTTTCATTTAAGAGATTTTTTTACCTCGTTTAATTACCTAAAAGCTCTATTCAAGTTGCACTGTTTTAATTACAGGTACCTACCTACCTATGTTGTTTTTTATTCCATTGTTTGGGTGAGACCAATTTTAATAAAAGTATATTTACAAATTGAAATAGAATGAAAAAAGAATGAAACGAAAATAATCGATTATCCTAAATGTGTAATTTATCTTAAAAGTTAATAGTTTATTGATACACTCCTGGACAAAATTAACCACTATCCATTTGCCACATTTTTTATGCTATTTTTTGTTTGAATTTATGAACCGATTTGGATGATTTTTTTTTGAATTATAAGTTGGTTCCTTGACAATGTCATCATTTTTGCTGTTTATGATAAAATGTTCCTTTTCGATTATACCGGGTGTAATAAAAATGTAATGGTTTTTTCCGAAAATTCATATCACCCTGTGAAGTATACTAGCAAAAGAGACATATAGCAGTTGACATTAGACGGTAGATCCATCTTTTGCAAACATTTTCTTTTTCGTGTACTTCATTATCTCTGTTATTAAAGGAGATACGCCGTTTTATAGCGTAACATTGTTTTAATTAAGAATTAATTCTGAATGTACTATAAAATGTGTCAATTAATTGTTGCTATGGTTTCTTGGCTTTGACATTTATTGGTCAAATTTAAAGTTGATGAAAGTGACAGTTTTTTCGTTTAAAGCCATTGTCACTTTCATCAACTTTAAATTTGACCAATAAATGTCAAAGCCATGAAACCATAGCAACAATTAATTGACACATTTTATAGTACGTTCAGAATTAATTCTTAAATGTATTAATATGCCCGGGGGTTAAAACTAAATTGGTCTTCACGTGAATTCGCGCTATTAAAATGTTTTCAAATTTGGGGGTTGACTTAATAATTAAATTACCTTTAAAACGAGGTGTCACATGACCCCTCTTTCTATAAGAAAAAAAAATTCAAAATGGCGCACAACTGTCATTTTGAAAGTTTCAACTGTCATTTTTACGTCAATAAATAGTACTTTTACTACAAATAAACACCCCAAATTTCGCGACAACAGTTCTTACCATTCAAAAGTTAAAGGGGGGGACAGACTTTTGGTCCTCACTGTTGAAGTAACATATTAGATCCGTTTTACTCGCTTTTCTCGAATATTACACACACGCAAATGGCAAAACTTGTTATCTCGCTCTGCTATAGAAACTCAAAGTTAGAAAATGATGAGCGGAAACTTCAAAGATATCGCTTTCAATGCGAATAAAATGCATTCCACAATTTATAGCGAGCTATTCCTATTTGCAGGCGTTTCAATACAAATATGTAATCGATATTACACAAATCAAATGCATGTATTCATACGTGCAAAGAATTCTATCTAGAGATTCAAGAAAGTTCTAGTATTTCACGGTAATTCAAGTGATTTTCACTATAGGTTTGTTCTAATTGATACATTAATATCTACAGGGAGGACCAAAAGTACCTCGCCCCCCTTTAACTTTTGAATGGTATGAGATTTAGTCGCGTAATTTGGGGTGTTTCTATTGGAGTAAAAATACTATTTTTTGACGTAAAAATGACAGTTGAAACTTTCAAAATGACAGTTAGGCGCCATTTTGAATCTTTTTTTCTTATGGGAAGGGGGGGTCATGTGACACCTCGTTTTAAAGGTAATTTCATTCTTAAGTCAACCCCCAAATTTGAAAACATTTTAATAACGCGTATTCACGTGAATACCACAGTTTTTTTTCGTTTAAAGGACGAGCCATTGTCACTTTCATCAACTTTAAATGTGACAAATGAATGTCAGAGCCAAGAAACCATAGCAACAATTAAATGAAACATTTTATAGTAGGTTCAGAATTAATTCATAAATGTATCAATATGCCCGGGGGTTAAAACTAAATTGGTATTGAATTTCTCTCGTTTATTTTTCACTTTCTATACACTATGCTTCATTCCAGAGCGCAACTTAGGTTATATAGGCTATAGGTGCGACAAAGACAACTTCCATTAGACACTTATAAAGGAAAATGAAAAGAGTGACATTTGAGTCATTGCAACTTTTCACTCTGACAACTGCTATTTTTGTAATCTTTCTTTGTTCAACTCATAGAAACGACCATGTTGCGGCCTGAATTGAAGCAATCTGTATAATAATTTCTGGGTTTCAATAGTAACTAAATAAAAAAATACCTTTAAAGTGTAATGTAAAGACAATAAAGAATCTAGAAAAAATATTTGAAACAAATTTAAATTTTGGATATAGAAATTAGAATATAGGATATAGGGTATAGAGTATAATTTGAGAAGGAGGGGGTCACTTTCAACATTTGCTCTAATGTAGTTTAATAATTATTATTTATGTAGGGTTTTTGCATTGTAAAATAAATCATTTTTGTATTATAGAAAATCGTTTTTAATTTTTTTCTCTATAACGGCCACAGAAACGAAAGAAGTTTGCAAATAAAAAAGTTTCTAAACAAAACAGACAAATCATTTTGTATTTTAGAATCTACCAGCAGCGTACAGCAAAAATATTGGGAGGGAGAAAAGGGAACATGACTCCTGACAAAATATCACTCCTGACAAAATTCAACAACCATCTGACATACCCAACAATGTATGCCCTATAACGCAATCTAGATTCCAAATTTGTGCTAAATATCTCAAAAACTGCAGAAACTACAAAGAAAAAACAAGAAAAACCTTGAAATTTCAACACTCTGTAGATCTGTAACGAAGCGTTTACGGACATCTGTTTATGAACTTTTATTAGTCATGAAATAAGCCAAGGAATTACCCCTTTAGGAACACCATGTATTCTTTAAAAAAATTTATCTACTAATGACTTGGCAAACTGCGAAAAGTTTCCTTAGTGTAGGTAGTAAAATATACCGATTGGAACATAATATTTATAACATTAATGTTATACATTAACAATAGAACATTAATTATTTATTAGAATAACTTTATTACATATCTATGAATAAAGGACATTCGCGCTCGCTAGGCAATGACGTCATTTTTAGACGACGTCATTAATTTCCAAGCAGTTCAACATTTCCCTAGTGTCAATGTTAATTCTCCCATTTGGCTAGGGGAATTTAACGACGCGTAGTTGAAAGTCGAAGGCGATGTTGTCATGCATTTAGTCTCAACATTCGCAATATTTAGCGGCGCTTTGTAGTTGACACTTTGACAGGTTATGACTACAATTTGTTGTTTTTGCGCTATTTTCCTGTATTTTTTCAAGTTTACGAGTAGGTTTTGTGTTTTTCGTTCGTTCTAGATAGTTTTTCGTGCGGTTTATGTACATTTATCGACAGTTTCTCCCGCGATTTTCGGTGTTTTTCGACCAATTTGGGAGGGAACGGGACGACGTAGGCCCATTTTTCCCGATTAATTCCCGATCAATATTTTCGATAGTTCAGCACATTGAAATTTATAGGTTATAAACTTACGAATAGTTTTTTAAATGAATATTTCTGTTTTATAGGGTTGTGAAGCGTTGCAAATAAACACCTCTCCCGTCAATCGGATTGCAGCTTAATGCATTTCTTCTTTTTAATTTCTAAACAATGAAAGTTAACATAACCTTAAATTAAACATATCTGTCACATCAAGATTTTCATTTCAACCCGGCAACGTTGCAACATGTTGGCTTGTGACGTCATTGCCTAGCGAGCGCGAATGTCCTTTAAGTGTTCCATTTATGGACCACCATAAGCACTTTTCACACTAAAAAGTCGAATTTTAAATTTTAATCAGCTTTATTTATATTAAACAATTCCTTAACCATTTAGTTAAGAAAAACTCATAATAAAATTCCCCAAAAAACAAAATCCTTGAAATAAACAACTAAAGTATTTTCTAAAGTATATCATTTTTACGAACCTTCAGAAAGTGAACTTAATATGGACCACATCCAGATATAAAGAACGACCTTTATTAAATGGTGGTGGTCCATATTATATGACCGGTCCATATTTGGCGCATTTACTTTAATAATTTTCAGCAACATCCACAACATCAACTATTTCATCTGCGTTTTGATTTATCGCCCATTTAAAATTTTTAAAAAAAGCGGCACAAAAGAAACAAAACTCGGTTATAAAGCAAAAGCTGATCAAGTCATCAAAATTGGGCACCTTATCCTAATCTTATCACAGGATAAGAATTTATATTGGGAAAACGATTTAGGAAAGACTTGTGGTATATTTTCATCATGTGATTAAATGGAGAAAATGGGCATTAGATACATGAATTTTTAGCCAAATTATAGGGAAATTAAATCGTAGCCGACCCGGGGTATTCCCAAACATCATTAGAGAAGTCATTGACCGAATCTCATGTAAACGAACACACCCGATCGGAAAATCAACGTTTCATTTAACGAAATTTCATCTTCATTGTCAAATAAGCAAAATAAACTTTGTTATTCGGTTTTTTATACTCTTCTCAAATTGAGTAATATCGTTTTACTTATTTCTAAATCTCCCAAAATATCTCAATTTTTTTCAGCCTCCGCCGGACGCCATATCGCACATTTCGAGCTCTGAGCCTGATCATATGGGCCTGATCGCTCAAACTCTAACATTGCGTTTCACCATGAATGAAAGATCGCTCCAAGGGAGAGAAATAGAGGTAAGATGCGAGTCCATCCAGCCGGGCCTGCCGGAATCCAAGAGGACCAGCTCAAAGAAGGTACCAATTAGAACACCAGGCGATCAGCAGGAGGTCAAAAAACAAAAATGGTATGTCTGAAAAAGTGAGAGTGCGATTAAAATTAATGACATTTTTATAACAAAATCAAGATATACAGGTTGTTAAAAAAGTGACACAAAATATGGCTCAAAATATTATGCAGAAAATTTTTCAAGCTGCTGCGAAAATTCATTTTTTCCAAAGTTTCCCGAAGTATCTCAATAATGAAAAGACTTAAAAATTTGATATTTTGGTTATAGTATTTTTTGGATAATATGAATTGATCTAAAATATTTTCATTTTTATTACACTTCCGGTTATACCGGAAGTTGACACCAACTTCCTTATTTTATATGGAAAGTGCCATTTTTAACTTAATTTTTGAATTCTATGGCCTTTTTTAACTAGACTTTGATAATAACACCATATGCCAAAAATGCACCATTTTTAAGATATTACAATTTTTTCAATATTTTTTGGAAAAACAGAAGAATGTGTTTTCTGTGATATCTCTGTTAATAATGCAGCTAGAAGCTTGAAATTAAGTATCGATGATGTCCAGACATACTACTAAATGAAACTGAACTGTATTTTAAGAATGAATGTACAGGGCGTTTAAAATTGTCTGACAAACTTGGCCAAATTAAAGTGGTCATAATTTTGTTATTTCAAATGGACCACCCTGTATTTTTTAATAGTGACCAATGCAGTTTTTTAAGCCCTTCGATCCATATGGGTATTCCCTATGCCCAAATCCAGTAGTTTTTGAAATAATCGAAGTTTTATTAAATAAGGTATGAATTTTCTTTTTTTTTTGAGTTATCCAGTTGGCCATCTGATGACCAGACAATTTTAAAGGCCCTGTACATGGATTCTGAAAATACAGTTTAGTTTCATTTAGTAGTATGTCTGGACATCATCGATACTTAATTTCAAGCTTCTAGCTGCGTTATTAACAGAGATATCACAGAAAATACATTCGTCTGTTTTTCCAAAAAATATTGAAAAAATTGTAATATCTTAAAAATGGTGCATTTTTGGCATATGGTGTTGGCATATCAAAGTCTAGTTAAAAAAGGCCATAGAATTCAAAAATTAAGTTAAAAATGGCACTTTCCATATAAAATAACGAAGTTGGTGTCAACTTCCGGTATAACCGGAAGTGTAATCAAAATGAAAATGTTTTAGATCAATTCATATTATCCAAAAAATACTATAACCAAAATTTCAGATTTTTAAGTCTTTTCATTATTGAGATACTTCTAATGGACGGTTACCGTGAAAAGCCCTGTATATTTTTTTACTTTTTAATATTTTATTAAAACAAGTTGGGTTATATCGTATTATTTTGAGGCCGAGAATCTTCCCCTTCATTTTGGATCATTACTTACGGACCACCCTGTAAAGTCTCCGTGAATTTTGCAGACTATTTTAACCGGATTTTCCTAAGATTAAGATCACCATTTTGTAAATTGACCCAATACATTGGCAGCCGGTACAGAACATATTTGATATTAGCAAATCCTACGCCCCAAAAAGTGTTTTTGTCATCACTAAATTGCATCATTGCCTCGTTTATCATAAGTCGACCATCTAGCTTTGGTTCTAAGAGTAGATAAATTTAATTATCGGAAAAGCGGAAAAGCTCGTTCGATTAAAATTTTCCTTTTTATTTCCAGGTACGCTTCTGGATTCGCATCCAAATTCGGACCGTCTATCCAGATCCATATAGCGTGGTTATTACTGTGGGTTCTGGTGATGAAATGGATATAAATTAACGTAAGAAGTGTATTATAATGGTTTGTGTTAGAGACTGACGATAATGATGTTGATGATGTGAATAGTTGAAAGAGAAAGATACATCATAAATTTTTAAATTAAGGTTACTGTTAAATTAAGTAGATAATTTTAGGTTATAACATTAATAATATGGATAACATTAATATTTCCACTAAATTTGCATTTTGAAAATGTAAATAAAACCAAACATTAACGTAAAATATACGTATTTATTTAATGTATTGTCAATCACAAATTAAGATAAAATTAATTAATAAATAATAATTATCAATTAATTATCCTAAAATAAATTAAATGTGGAAATTTCAAAGGCATTACAACTATGAGACCAAATTGTTTACATTTTTATGTGACAAATCATTACATTTATGCATTCGCCCAAATTCACACCCTGTATTATCACAGGTTTATCGATTTTATCTGTCTGTGACAATTATTTGAAAATTTTCCGTTAAAAAAATTAATTAGTTGTAATGGCTTTGGGAAATTTACTAAAATTAAATGTAGTTTGAAATGCACCTAACAGATTGACTGTTATTTTTGTGATAATAGAACTAGGCACTAAATAATATGTTTAATTATATGGTGATGATGTAATACTATACATATAGGTACCTAAAAATATTAATAAGTGTATTGATTGACGTTTCACTAATCCCCCTATCTTTTTTGAAACTCCTGAAAATTTTTAATGTCGAGACTTTTTGATTGACTCACTGATTGAGTACTAAACTTAAAATTTCTCTTTTTTGTTAATTTTTCTTGATTATAACGACAGGCCGTCGGTACTACTAGGTACTAGCAGTGTTGTTAAGTAATTAATTACAAGTAATTGAAAAAGTAATTGAATTACTTTTATTGTAATTGAGGCGGTAATTAATTACAAGCTCCTCAATTGTAATTCATTTGTAATTCAATTACTCCTTTCGTTACAATTACAATTACATTTTACAATTACATTTCAATTACATTGGACACAAAAGTACTTATTTAATATTTTCAATACGTGGAAAGTTTAATTCCGATTGCAAATCCATAAATAATTATTTAAAACTGACACCAAAGCAAAGTAATTGTAATTACTTTCGCAAATTTTATAATTGTAATTGCAATTAATTACATATTATGAAGTAATTTTAACATCACTGGGTACTAGGTAAGCGGAAACTTCAGTAATTGCAAATTATACACTGTGACAAAAAAGTATCCGAAATTTCTAATTTAAATTACCTGCACTTAATATTATTAACTACATAAGTATTACAAGTTTACGTATATGTAGGTAACAATGTTCTTAATTATCATGCAAAAAATTAGAGAGATTTCTTAATCAGTTTAGTTGTAGCAGCTGATTGAATCAGTTCATGTCAGTTGTGCTCTGCGAATTTTGCTATAAACAAAAATAATGAACAAAGAGTTTGTCTCATATTTTGAGTTCTGAACAGAATTTCGTTGGTCGAATCGATGCAAATGATTAAGGTAAGTCTGTTTTATCGAAAACCCATATTTAAGAATGCTACAAAACTTTTAAAGACAGTCACGAGATCGCTAAAGACTTGCAGACTTGCCTCATTCCGGACGGTCTTGGAACTCTTTAACCAATGGTAATGGCGATAAAATGAAGAAAATTGAGTTCGCAAATTATCATGCTAGTATTAGAGAAGTAGCATTTGATTACAACATCTCTTGTAAACCGTTCGATAGATTTTGCTCAATCAATCAGACATGTTGCGCTTTGAGGCTCGGCTCGTTCCGATAGAGCTGATTTTCTTAAATTGAAATATCTCGAAAAGTGTTAACTTTAGGCATAGGAAATGGTTAATAAGAATGAAAGTACTTCAAAAATACTTCCTGTAAACGATATAAAATATAGGGTGATCCATTTAAATTAACAGAGAAAATGTTACTTTTTTTTTTTTTTTTTTTTTTTTTTTTTATGCACACGACTCGGGAAAAGACGAAGCTTATAACGCCTGTTCAGGCGCCCCGAGGCGTTTTTAGTAGGTAATTGTTAATGTTGGTCTTAAACCTCTGAAGGTCGTAACCAACTGGGAACACTTCTGATGGTAGTGTGTTCCATAGTGTCGCGGTTCTGTACAGAAAAGATTTCTGATACATAGAGGTCCTAGCTGTTGAAATGTGTACGGCAAACTGGTGTGTGCTCTCCGCTAGCCTTGTAGAACGTCCAAAGTGAGCACCAGGTGGAATAATGGAAGCAATGGCTGCAGAACACCTTCCGTGGTAATATCTGTAAAAGAGACTTAAGTCGCTAACCCTTCTACGATGGTCTAGTGTATGAAGGTTAGAGGTTAATGAGGGGTCATCAACCAGGCGCACTGCTCTTTTTTGAATGGAGTCTAGTAGGTGCAAGGAGTGCTTAGGAGCAGAACTCCAAGCATGAGAGCAATATTCCAATGCTGGACGAACTTGAGCCTTATAGAGTAACAGAAGCTGCTTTGGTGTGAACATTTTTCTGGCACGAAATAAGTAACTAAGCTTCTGGGCGGCTGATTTAGCTATGGTGGAAACATGTTCATGCCAGGTTGCATTTGATTTAATGCTGACCCCTAAAAGATGTAATTTATTAGTTGTTTTAATTGTTTGGTTATTCAATGCTAGTTGGGGTATGACGGAGGACGTCTTTCTTGTAAACATGGTTGCCTGGGTCTTGGAGGCGTTGAATTCAACCAGATTATCGGATCCCCACTTCAAAATAGTTTGAAGGTCGTTGTTGATGGACTCAGCTTGCAAGAGCCTTTGGCGACTTGATTTAGATGCACTGACAGGTCTCTTGTTTGTAGTGGATGCTATGAGAGTGCTATCATCTGCGAAGCTGAGAATTTTGTTTTTGGTTGAATTTAAAAGATCATTTATGTGAATTAAGAATAGAGTTGGTGATAAAATCGATCCTTGAGGTACACCAGCGTTCAAAGAGTAAGGATCTGAAGTTGCACCGTCAACCACAACTTGAATTTGTCTCCTATGCAGAAAGCTCTCTATAAGTCCGCATAGTTTTTGGGGCAGACCGTAGGATGCCAGCTTAGATAGCAGTGCTTTGTGCCAAACCCGGTCGAAGGCCTTAGATATATCTAAAGCGACCGCTATTGATTCTCCGTGGTTCTCGATAACACTTGTCCAAATGTGTGTAACATAAGTGAGCAGGTCACCTGTTGAGCGACTGTGTCGGAAGCCGTACTGGTTGTCACTTATGAGACCATTCTGTTCTAGATATTTAACAACCTGCAAGTTAATGGCAGATTCCATTACTTTGGATAATATGGGTAGAAGGGCTATCGGGCGGTAATTTTGCGGAAGGCACTTTTTCCCTTTTTTTGGTATTGGTTGTACTCTTGCAACCTTCCATACAGATGGAAATGTCCTCTGCTCATAGCACAGCTTAAAAAGCCGACAGAGCAAAGGTGCGAGTTCGGGTGCACAGTGCTTTAATACAATTGCAGGTATCCCGTCAGGTCCCATTGACTTTTTGCAGTTTAGTTGTTTCAGAATGCGGCGGATGTTACGTGTTTGAAATTTCAGTTCGGGCATTGAAACCTGAAACTTAGGAATATTAGGAGGTACCTTTTGACCTGCATCTAGCGTTGAATTCTTTGCGAATAGTGCCGCGAAGAGGTCTGCCTTCTCTTTGGAGCTGGTCGCCAATGTGCCATCATCTTTAACAAGTGGTGGGAAGGTGGTATGGCAAAAATTGTTGTTGATAGCCTTAGCTAGTGACCAGAATGGACGCGAACCACTAGGACATTCTAAAAGCTTATTTGTTACCTTATTGTTAAATGCTTGTTTTGCTTGTTGGATAATCAGATTGCACTTATTTCTAAGTTGCATATATGTTTGTCGCGTTTCTTCCGACGGATTTGAGCACCACTCTCTGAACGCTCTATTTTTGTTAACGGACGCTTGCTCGCATTCTTTGTTAAACCAGGGTGTTGTGGATGGTGGTTTTTTGCGATTATGTGGAATATAGAGTTCCATACCTAGAAGGATTACCTCGGAGACAGCTTCAGCACACTGATTAACGTCTTTGTTCGCAAAGCAGGTAGCGCTCCAAGGAAACGCTGCGAAAAAGTCCCTCAGCTCATCCCACTTGGCTTTGTTGTAGTGCCAAACTAGACGACGAGCTCTGGGTTGGTCGACAGTCTCCACAATTAAGGGACATGATGCGGATATTAAGATGTGGTCTGAGTTGCCAAGTGGACTATGTGCCGTGATGTCATAGCTGTCAGGCTCTGAGGTTAGGTACAAATCTAGCGTGTTTCTGAAATCATTAGGGTTACTGGGAACTCTTGTTGGACAATCTATCAATTGAGATAGATTGCAGCTGATTGCAAAGGCTTCGGCTTGTCTTCCGGCCTCGTCCGTTTTGTTGGAGTGTGTTAGCCAACCGGAATTATGAGCATTGAAATCGCCAAGAATGATAATTTCAGATGATGGATAGTTGATACTTTTGCGTTTGGATCCACCCTGTAAGCAGTATGATTAAAATTAACAAAAAATATTCATTTTGTACATTTTCAGGATATTTGCAATGTTGTGAAACCTGAAATTTATTTTCATATTCAATCCATTTAGTTTCTACAGAGTGGTAAACTTAGTACGATTTTCGTGGAAAAGTGGTCATAACTTTTAAACAACTCAGTATAACGTTATACAAAATTATATTTTTGGAAAGCTGAAAACGAACTTAATGCAATTTTTAAATAAAAAACAGGGTTTTCCATTTAAAAAAGTATAAGTTCGATCTATTACGGAAAAACGGGACACTCTGTATAAATGTAACTAATTTTAAAATATGCAGCTTAAAAAGATCTACAACTTTTGTAATGAAGTTTTTTTGATATCTTCTATAATAACAGATATATAGAGCTTTTCCATACTAATGTGCCACCCTGTATGCTAATTCGTGTGAAGTATCATCGACCAGATTTAACCTTGTGACACTTTTTTTTCTTTCTCAAGCTCAAATTGCCACTTTGGCGATCCCGTTTTGAGTCCATAAATGTCATATAAATGCCTATAAAAATGCTTCGATGATTGGAAAAGTCGTCTGACTATAATGTGTATCGCTTCAAAAGGAGCATATTTTAAAGAACACTCAAGAAATATTAATGAAATTTAGGAACTTTGCGTTTTAATCCAATTTTCCGGGTACTTTTTTGTCATTGTGCATACTCGTAT